GAGCATTTTCCTCACATCTGTGAGCAGAACATCCAGCGTGTATCGGCTATCATTCCATGTGCGAGGAGATGGAAAGGCAAGCAAGCCCATCCAGGAAGTTTGATGGAGTACATGAGGAGGCTAGATGTGTAACATCCTATTTCCACAGCGATAAATTTTAATAAAAATCATAATAAAATAAAACTCCAAAATAGGATGTCACATCATTCAACAATTTCAAATTTGCTCAGTTAAGATAAGACAGATACATAACACACATTTCGGATGAACCGAAAACATTTCACCATAATCTTCAAACTTCAACTTTACTAACGCGGCTGAAAGAATTTCATAATTATACTAAAATATTCAACCATTATAAAATCAACAATGGAATCAATAAAAAAGAGAGTCTACAACACTCCCAAAATCCTGAAAAAGACATCAATTAAATAAAACAATCGAGTGTTCATTTCCTCAGTGTTACGTATCAGAGCAATGAAACTCATTCAATAAGAGAAAGCAACCTCTTCTAAACTCCAAAACTTTGCACTACTCCTGGCTATATGCACGTTACTCACGTGGAGGCAACATTCAAACAGTAAGGGTGAGATATCATAACAATATAATAGGTTATATAATTATAAGTAAACAACAGATATATCATGCAAGAATTCGAGTTTGATAATTATTAGTCACATCATCTCAATAAGTCCACAATTCAACAAATATAGTACAACTGACTCTGATGCAAAATGCATATGGTACCATTAGGACATAAACCCTCAACAAATTACCGTATAGGTCAGGGCATAAGCCCTCAACAATTTCTATAAAGGCCAGAGCATAATCCCTCAACATTTTCCATAAAGGCCAGGGCATAAGCCCTCAACATTTCTCCATATAGTTCAGGGCATAAGCCCTCAACATTTTCCATAAAGGTCGGGGCATAAGCCCTCAACATTTTTCCATATAGGCCAGGGCATAAGCCCTCAATGATGCATGAAATGCGACATGTCACAACCAAAATTATGTAATTACAAGCATAACCATCAACATCATGCCAATTTCAGGCCAACAACAACATATTCGTTATATTGCAATACATTATGCAATACCTTCATACATCATTCGTACAACATCATCACGTTTAATCACAACAATATGCATCACACTTCATACAACATTAACACACAAGGCATAAGCCTTCACCAATACAATCATCATAAGATATAAAATACCACATCACATTAACACCAAAATCCTCATGATTAATTTCACGACGACAACCATTCATCATTAAAACAGAACCATCCCAATTAATCTACAACAACTGACACTGACACCCAAGGCATAAGCCTTTAACCAAAAAATAATTCACATACTATTATCAAAATTACTATCAAATTTTAGAAAAAAAATTATCTTTTTAACAGTCCAAACTGTGCGTCAAACGGACACCCGAGGCGAAAGTTATGATTTTTCAAAGTTTTTAAAAATTATGTCAGCTTCAGCGGTAACTGGCTACCCAGTTACGGTAACCGGTTACTGCAAGACAGTAACCCTGTTTTCTTCAAAAATTCTTCGCGTTAATCGGTTACCCAGTTACGGTAACCGGTTACTGCAAGTCAGTAGCCAAATGTTTCAAAACACAAACAGCAGTAACCGGTTACACATATATGGTAATCGATTACCATCGCGAACTGACCCAAAAACCTGAACTTTCTACTATGAAATTCCATCCTCTTCATCCAAAAAATCATTTTTTATGAAAGATTAAATGCATCAGTTATTTTAAATCATCAACACATCATATACCACAGTTCCAACATATTCAACACCCCAATCTCATCATTTACAAGCAATTACAATAATCAACTTCACAATAATTTTCCCTAAAACCTAACCTTCAATATCATCATCTACCCACAATTAAACCACCTATTAGAGAGTCAGAACCCCACCCTTACCTTAGGTTTGACGATTCTAAGCTCTCTATCAGATATTCCTTGTCCTAGTTTGTATGCTCTTCAATTCGTTCTTCTCTCCTCACTTCTACGATCTATTCCTCGTGTTTTTACTTCTGTTTTTCTAACCACACACTTTACATCCCTATTTCTATATACCAACTTTTCCCCTTCTCTTATTACTAGATTTTGCATATATTTTATTAATTATTAACATTATAAAATACTATTTATCTCTTATAATAATAATAATAGTAATAATAATAATAATAATATTATCACTGTTATTCTTCATTCACCCCATGTCTCTACACTTTTAGTCATACACCCATAACTTCTTCAATTATTACTACTTCTAACCTTCCAACAATTTCATCAAAACGCATCATAAGATCACCAATACATATAAGCACATTATTTAATCTATCAACTCATACAAATACACTGCATCGACTAATTCGCCATAATTCATATATTAACCAATAATCACCGATATTCATACTAAATTAGTTAAATAATTAATCTAGATTTTTGGGGTGTTACAAGATGCGCTGGCGTTAGAGGATGTTGTATGGACATCATATACTTTGCATCGCCCTCATCGTCCATTTGAGGTGTCTACTTTGTATTCAAGACATATTAGATGGGAGAACTATGTGCTTAGACACTTGCTTGAGTGGTGTCTACGCCAGTATGATTTTGTACAAGACATCCCTCGTTCAGTTCTAGAGACTCTAAGCAGTGGCATTGATAGATGGTTTCAGAGTCACATCTTCAGTTCCCCTGCGAGATCATGGATATATTCGTTGAGGTTCAGCGTCCTAGATAGTACGAAGATGGATACCTGAAGTGGTTTCACAGTGTATCACACTCTCGGATCATACCACCGGTTGCAGTATCTGATGTTCAGGGGCCTTCATGTGCCAGGGTTTATGCTGAGCCACCACCACCACCTCCACCTCTTGCAGGTGATCAAGACAGCCGCTTATAGTTCATCATCATTCATTTAGATAACCTCATGGGTTTGGTAAACCCTGATGGTGAGATCTATACAGGTTTAACTAGGTTAGTCGACGTAGTAATGTGGAGGACCTATGTAGATTTGTTTTATTATGGTTATTATATGTATATTTTATGACACACAGACATCTTATTTATTGCATAATTTCTTGACGACTACATGTTTTGATTCAATGATATACATAATATAACATAGTATAACAAATATAACCTTAAAACAACTAAACATGAAAACATAGGCACTACCGGATGACTCTGGACGTTTCAACATCTTCATTATGTCGTCGACGGATCTTCGGATCTCCACATCCAACTCGATCGGACCTTTAATTATCCTACGACAAAATGATTTCCACATGACTTTCACATCTGCATCATTCTTCAACTCGGTTAGGTTTATTCACTCTTTCATTTGTATCAATCCAATCCTTCTGAAACTCGACTTTTGTCACCCTTCTGTTATCGAAATCAGGAAGCAAACTATTCAACGTTTCTTTCAAGATGGCAAGAGATTCAGAATCATCTGGAATCTTGAATTCAACAGCAGGATTATATCTGTTATAATACACTTCTGCATTAATTAGATACTCATTTATACAAATGGTGATGCATTGTAGACCATACAAATGTGTCGGTGCAATCAGAACCCTCTAAATATATCGACAAAATTTCGACCGTTGAAAAAACTTGAATACATAATCTGTCGGATATTTCAGTATAACTCAAATTTCCGATTCTGCCACGTAAATTTGAATTTTTCAATTTATCAAAAATTTCAAATGGAATACGGAAAATTTATTTACCAAAATTTTGATAGGAGTATACCAAAAATTTGTTCTATACCAGAAATTCCATCCCTTCTGCCGAAAATTTCGTTTGAAAATATTTGTATTTCATCAAAGACAAAACTGGAGTAAATAAAATTGAGTGTGACATGTTTAATTTACAGAGTGGCGTTGTTAATTTCTCAAACAATCCCCATATCTTAAAAAGTCTTTACTCATAAAAACACGTCAATCCAAAACTTCAAGATCCAATAAAGTGCACTTGATATATAACTATTTTTTAAGTGTAGCTCTTTTCATGATTAAACACACTCGAAATCAGTACATAAGACTCGAAATCAGAACATAAGACTCATAGATTAGTCTTTAACGAATCAATCTAATCCTTATTGAATTGTAAATCTCATCTCAAATGCAATCACATTCATTTGTAACTTTCGAGTCTTGTTAGTTTGAAATTAAATTAATGATCTCTGTGCAAGTCTGTTGTGACTAAGAAAATATAAGTTGCAAGTCTACCACGGTTAATAAAATACTAGATTTAAAACCAATAGTGATCTAAAGAAAAAATGAATATTAGAGATAATTCTTTAAACAATATAGTGAAAATATCACAGTTGTCAGAACTCAAGTAGCCCATATATTGAATGAACCAGAATACTTGTGTCTCAAGCTTTACTCTTACTTTTATGCACAAATTACACCTACACTAGAATACTTATCTTAAAGAATACTTATATTATTAACTGTGTTGAGAAAAGTATTTACTTAAAATATGCTGTTTTTCTAGAGTCCTGCTTGTGAATTTTAAATATGCTCTTTTTCTAATGAGCCCTGCTTATAAGATACATGAAAACAATTCAACTTCAAATCATTGCAAAGATCAAATCAACATTAGCATAAACTAATAACTTTTATATAATCAATGGGAAAACCCCTACTTGCAAGCCATTTCGCAAAGCAAATAACATCCTGCTTTTACTGCAAACAAACTGCAAATCTGCATAATTGCTAAAGACAATACCTAACTAACGAAAGAAAAAAGGTCATCATATCATATACAGAAAGTCTCCTATTATTCTTGTGTTAAGCAAGCCTTGACTGACATTCAAGACTGTCATAGTCAGAAAACATTAGGTTCATATATTCCAGCTCTGGAAGGCAGAACTTCAAATCCCAAATGTTGCAAAGCAATCAAATGAATACACACCTCGAATTAAACTACTTGGACCAGCGAGCTTGCTATAGCCTATGTATCAAGCGTGGGATAAAAACCTGAGGCGGATTGTTTCCCATTTCCATTGGAATCTGCATTAGCATAAAATGGAGATTGAAGTTCCCCAGAATGAGAAGACCTTTTTGATTTATGGTGCTTAGGAGAAGCTCCATAATAATCTCCAATACTACTTGATGAATACATTGATGACGTTGGTAGTCCATGAATTTTTGGCAGACCATTTGTTTCAGGTAAACTGTATCCTCTTTCAACAGTTTCAGCTTCCATGGGCAGCTCCTCCAAGTCCTACGAGGATAAAATACAGTCATCAGAGAGTAGCTATACTTCGTTTCCACTACCAGTTTATCTAGGTTAACTTGAGCACACCGAATGAAAACCAAATATAATGCATACATATTAAACGCACAGTTAACAGCACAGGGAGATCGTGAGCACCAAAGAGCAAACAATTTAAATACAGGATGACACCAGATAAAATAATTAGCTCAAGTATTATGACTGTCTACCTTAAATGCTTGCTGATAAGCTCGGAGAAGTTCTCTACAACGCTTTCTTTTCAAGGCTACCTCATCAGGTTCTTGCAACATCTCTTCAAACAGGTTATCTCTGGTATGAGTGTAACATAAAAAGTACAATCAGCAAGAAACAATGAAGAAACTCGTCAGAATGAATTAAGAAGCCGTAAGCATTATATTTTACCTGTATAGCTTTTTAATGAAGACATTGTGTAGCTCTCTCTTGGTGTTGTTTACCTGATATGAATCAGTAAAAGACAGTCATAAGGATTTACAGAATGCATGAAACTCCATTTTCAACCATTTGCAAATAAACACAAAGCATAAGATAAAATATTATGAAATTTAATAAAGCACAAAGCATTTAGACTCTCAATCAGTGTCATCAGAACCAGACTAGTCGGTTTAAACCAGTTGAACTAGGAACCGGCAAGTCAGCCGGTTGGTTCAACCCCGGATTGTTCTAAGTCTGCGAGAACTGGATCTAACTCGGTTGGTTCAACTGGTTCTTCTTTTATTAGTCATCTGGTCATCCGGTCAACTGTCCCAAAGGTCTCACCAATCAGGGTTTTAAAATATTGTTCTTGATACATGATACTATTTTCAGCCTTGCTATTTTTGTCAATTGGGTCTGCTACAAGAGTTCCCTATTAAACTATGTGTTCCTTGACTTCCTTCTCTTTTGCTATCCTAACAGTCAACAATAGGGTACATATATTTAAATTTAAGGCAGGATGATAGAAATTGCAACTACTCGTAGTATTATACTATACATATGAATAGAGCTCCTACATATTATCAGCACAAACACTACTGCACTTAAACTTATTGAGACACCCGTACGTGTTTCCTTGGGAGTTAAGATATTCAAATTCCGCTAAGGTATGTTGCTCCTATAATCGCTACTTAACAACATTGCATCAAGTTAAGAAAAATGGGAAAATCTTGTGTAGACTAAAACATTTTAAGTATATACAAACACTACTGCATTTAAACTTATTGAGACACTCGTACGTGTTTCCTTAGGAGTGAAGATATTCAAATTCTGTTAAGGTACATTGCTCTATAATCACTACTTAACAACATTGCATCAAGTTAAGAAAAATTGAGAAAATCTTGTGTAGACTTAAAACATTTTAAGTATTGAGAGACGACCACTATACACCTTAATTATGAACTTTAGTGCCGCATAATTATTTCACATTTAAATTGACAGCTTGTCAGTTATTGATTATTTGGTCTTCAAAAATTGACAGCTTGTCAGTTATTGATTGGTTTGGTCTTCAAAACTTGTGTAGACACAAGCATTTCTCAAGAAATACAGAAAACAATACCAAAATAGAACAACGGAAATTACAGTATAATACAAATTACTTAAGAATTGAGAAATATAATTGCAGACATTTGTAATTCTGTAAGACTTAAAAGAAGAGTATTAAGTACCAAGAAGTGCATAATTGCTTTGGGGATGAGATCCTCAACGTTTTTCCTGACAATGTCATAGTAGGATTTCAAAAGCAACTTTGTGACTGTAATTTCAACAGTTTCCGTCTCTGAATTACTATCGGAAGGCCTCAAGATAGGAGGTGGCTACAAAAACAATGTGTATATGAAAATATATACCTTTGAAACATGACATACATATGATGATAAATGTGTCGCAAGATATAAACCTCTGTCAAATGAATCATAGAAAATGATTGTTCCATGCTATGAAATGGTTCAGCTTGTTGTTTACTAGCAGCACTCTCCTTCACAGACTTATCACCACCTCCACCAAAAATGGATGAGATACCCCAGCTTGATCCACCAATGTTTCCTGAAAAAATATCAAGCATTTAAAAATGTGAAAAATTTAATAAAACGATAATTATATTTGCTGAAACATAATATCAATAATATCAAATAACTGCTAAAACAAATGCAATGAAGTGAAGCATTAAATAGAAGAAATAAATTACCAGAAGCTGCAACTTTTTCGGCATCTGATACAGCACGGACAGCCTGTTTTGTATTAATACCATAATAGAAAAGGTAAGAATAAGCATGCCAGTTTAGCAGCCCTTACTTTGATTCCCGTGAATGAAGATTTGAGTAAAACTTAAGTTAATAAACAGTATATAGTTACAAACCGAATCAGCAACTCCATTAGCTTGTCTTGCAAGAATAGCCCGAGACTTCACACTTCTTTCAGAGGCTGATCCCTTATCAGATTCCAGAGCATCCTATTTGAGACCAATATAAAATTTTAAAAATGAAAGATAGGCAAGCAATAATTAGTTTTGACAACTCAAAACATAGGGCATATTTGGAATTAGAGCCCAGGTATACCTTTGGCCTAGAAACTGATAAGGCAGCCCTAGAAGATTTGGTCTGTTGTACTGCAATTTCTAATGCCTTACTTCCACCAATAAAATTTGGGTGCGACGTATTTATATAGTCCATCTGCAGAATTGAGTAATTCAAACTTTATATAAACAAGTATGGGGATGGAAATGAAAATTCAATCTAATAAACTGACCATCACACCAAGAAAAACCTTTGACCAAATAGCCAGGTTGGAGAGTGGCAAAATGCCAAAACAAACGGTTAGATTAGAAAGTAAAACATATTTCAGGTTTGTTAAAATTTCTGATACCCCATGTGCATCCCTGAAAAGGGATATACTCTAAGAAATGAAAACTTGACACACCCACCAACAGCTATCAATCCACAACTCCTTTGGCAATAATTATTTCATTTTGTCATGCAAAATAGGAAATGAAGGAGCTAGGATCCATATAAATAAGAGAGAAATGTTGAGACTACAGAATTAATTATAGATTAAAGTGATATCGAGAATAAGATTTTAAGCTCCAAACAATCATTTCAGTTATAACTTAAACCAAAACTTATGTAGGATTTGTCAAATGTAACCCATGTTATGGCCTCATAAGCTAGTTCAGTTATGATAAACTTCTTTTTAAAATGTGAGTAGTTAGTCCACTTAGTTGTTATTTTTGTTAAAGGGGGGTGATGAACCCATGACCTCCTTATCACTCAAATCCCTATGTTCCACTCCCAAAACACTTAATGATAAACTATTATTACCACGATGAGTGTAGCAGAAGGTAGCTAGAAGGACATATTTGGAAAACCCAATAAGCTCTGATAAATAGAGATGTGGTATGATATAAGTTTATAAAGAGTGACACCTCTCACCTAACAAGTCAATTTTGTAAGGGTGAATTTAGTACAATTATGTTTATACCAATTATTCGTTAATGCCTAAACAATTTAAGAGCATACCTCCATCTCCATGATGTGAGCAATCATGTTCTCTGATGGTTCAAGGCCTTCCCGTAAAAAGTTTCCTATAACTTCATCCATGCGCTTACGTAAGAAAGGGAACCGCTGCAGTTCAGTTACCATACAGCGATGGCTCATCTGGAGATATGGAAATTTAGTTAGGAGCATAGTTGGTGAGGTGAAACAGTAGAAATGGCAAACTTTACAGCCGTGCCCTTACCTTTATTAATTCATCATATATAAATCTGGCACACTGAAGACTTGGATCCAATAGACGAGATATTTGCCTTCGCACAAGGACTTCAAATGGTACCTGTTGCAAAATAGAGAAACATGCTCAAGAATAGGATTTAACTTTACATGTTTGATAAGATATATGAATTTAAATCCACAAAGCTTAGAAAAGCATTTACAAATATTAATTGAAAAATTTTCAAAATTTAAATTTCTATTTAGAAAAGAGTGACACTCACTTCTGGTACAAACAATGCTGATCTTGGCCCAGTTGCGTTTTGTATGGCAGTACGAATATCATCATCAGTCAAGCCTTCACATGGATCTACCTCCTTCAAGATAGTGTAAAGTTACACAACAAGTCTCAAAGTAGGTAAATTAAAAGAAAAAGAACAGAAGCAACACAAATCCTAGGCTGTGTGGCATTGACTACTCTTTTTGCCTATATAAAAGTTGGCAGGTTAGACATCCACTTAGTATAACAAAAGAAATAACCCATTTCCACCCTTGAAATGCAATTAAGGGATGCTTGGATATTTATTAAACAGATAAAAATTGGTAGGTTAGACATCCACTTAGTATAACAAAAAAAAATAGGCTAGTTGATTGTTTCTAATCAGATTCAAATGGGCCACTCTGTAAATTATAGTTGTCTTTTCTATCTCTACTTTAAGTATGATATAAGAATATGTATAAGTATAACAATAATGTTATATCATCATATAAATACAGCAATATATACCTCTAAACTCCTGACAAAGATGGATTGAAAAATATAATGAATCCGAGCCCCACCAGATAACTCGGATGTGGACATCTCCTCATTCTTTCCCTCAATCATGGAGGAGAATGCTATTTTCAGAAAGAAAGAACATGGAGATAGCAGTTACTGAATTAGTAAAGGTAAAGATATGTGGATACCAGTTAACAAATACAAAAGAAACGAAAAATAAGAATTCATAAATGGAAAAGCAGAGAAAGAAAATAAACCAGATTGTAGGGATAGGTACCTTCACAATATTTTGAAAGAATGTTCAGGAGAAGAGCACCCTGACCAGCCTGGTGAGGAATAACGATTAAAAAGTATAGATAAAATGAGGCAAAAATCTAGCCAAAGTATATGATATGATATTTAATTAAATAAGGAGAATGATTATCCAGTAAATTTAACTAATAATTAGTTAACAGGTCATAGTGACATATGCAAGACAGGTCCAGTATTAACACATGCCTTAGACTCCGTGATTTCTCCATAGCTCGCATGCTCCTTTGCAACAGTAACTAGGTTATTGCTTATATGTGCTCTCAACCCAGGTAGCACAGCTTTGATATGTTGTGCTAGAATCTGCAAAGTAATGGACAGGCAATTATACATGGCATCCATCAGTCCATAAACCACAAACTTAACCGAATTCATAATGGTCTCTTTTTAAAAATAGCACAAATTTAGATCTTTTTACTGTGTTTTTCGAAGAATGATTTTAACAGTTTTCCCTCTCCCATGTTGATATAGCATTTTTTTCGGAGACAATTATAACCTGGCCATATTCTCTTTAGACTCTTTCAATCTCAAACAAAATCAAGCCACAAATAAATACTCTAATAAAGTTCATTATTTCATGACACCCAAATAAAAAACCGCATTACTCTCCAACTTTAAAGGATCATACAAATTATTGACAGCAAAAATACTAAGGATTTAATTCATATTTCCCTTGATGGTGTAAAGATTTTTGACACGGACTGTTAATCATAACAGTTTGATCATTAAAAAAGTTTAACTTTCATCATATGTAACTTAAAAGTCATACAAATGAAGGGTTATTATTGGTTCTCATTATTTTAAAAGTTCTACACTGTCATTGTATGCTAGTTAATCTAAAACCACAAAGCAAATAAAAAATCAGCATTAAAAGTGAAGCAACTAATTTATTTTCTTGAATTGAAAGCCCACTTCTATAGTTAAGAATATGCCTAAATCATACTACTAAGGAGGAAAGCTTTTAAATGCTTTTATATTGAGGAAAATCAAGATATTAGCGTGACAAATGTATAAGGCGAAAATGAGAAGAGAAAGGGATGCCACAACAGTGTAACAGTAAAATATTTTTTAAATTTACTTTAAATGAAATAAAGGCTCTACCTGGTTTAACTTCTTTGCTAGTTGAGGTATACCACAACTATCTGCTAGACCGTTGTATACCTATGAAGAAAAAATGGACAAACATTAGTATAGAGTATATATTAAGTAAAAAGCTTGAATACAACTAAGCTTAGGAATTTCCTTACAGGACGGCTGCGGAAAAATTTCTCTTCAGCAACAAGAGCATCTTTTATACTCCGGTTCATTTGAATGTCCTATTTTACCAAACAAGAGAAACCATATTTCAGTATAACACATTGACTTGCACGCTATTCAAGCAATTAGCATATGCATCTTTGTTTGCAAAGTGTTATTCCATTTAGAAAAGAAAAAAATCTAACAGAATATACGTGATAGTTAAATTAGTCAAACAACAAATTCATCATAGTATGATAATATCATTACCTCCTGACTACGATTTACAACGCCAACATAGCCAAGTCGGAGGGGAATAACTTTTCCTTGTAACAAATTTCGGGCGTCAGTACCTCGGTCCATGATATCCAACTTCATAGCAGAAAAAATGTGTCGAACAGTCAGAATGACTCAACAGCATATAACAAAATCCATAAAGATACACATATAATGTTAGAAGAGTATACTGAACCTTTGTGATTACACCGATCGTTCTATTACCTGCATCATATATAAAACCATTTAAAACAAATTAAATAGATGCAAAAGAATATTGAAAGCTTTTAGTATATGGAAGCAAAAGCATACCCTCAGGATCAGCCACTCCTGCCATCTGAAGAGCATCGGAATTAGCCAAATCTGAATTTGCCGGTGTGACAGCTAGAATAAGACATGAGGGCTCTTTGATATATGACATGATCATTGTTCTGATCCGGGCTTCAATATCAGAAGGCTGATCGCCAACGGGAACCTTTGTAATACCTGGGAGATCTACAAGTGTCATGTCCAGAACATTTGGTGAAACAATCTTCAAACGAATCTGCCTGTCTGAGACGCCCTTGTTTTCTCCCGCTTCCCTATCAGTTTCAGCCTGTAAAAAGATAATAATGATATACAAGTCAACATTGAGATATAAAGGATTAAACAAGTACATAGCATAACTAGTCAGAACATCGTTATCAAGAGTATAATATAATCACATGATATGTAGATGCAAATGAGAAAATCTGAAATTCAACTACTTTCCGAGATACAAAAAATTAAAATGATTTCAAACGGATTATGAATTTTTAACAAAGTCAATAACTACCTATGACTATTGTAGTAATGTAGATGGTACATTGAAAGCTACAGTGACAAATGAGAAAACAGTATACCTCAAAGCTTATTCAACTATTTCTATTCTATTCAATTGTACTACAATTCACTAATGTCAGAGGATGGAGTCTCTAAGCTACCAATTTGTTTCACTCTCCGTTGGACCATTGAATGCCATGCATGCACATAATGAACTTCAAATATATGGACATGACCTTTGAGGATCACTAGTGGATTGCACTTGAGTTCATCTTGGTTTGGTTGTGATTAAATTTCCTGAGTGTTATGAGTGTCTCACGAATGAATGGGGAAAATAAGTAAGCTTTCTTCTCTAGATTGAGAAAACTATCATCATGGTTGAAAGGTAAGGGTCGTCCTTAATTAATGACAAAAGCGACATCAAGGTTTCTTCATTCCACTCAGATGGAGAGAGGACCAGTTAACAATACAATATGAACATTAGTGTCCAACAGCCTAATATGCTGCAAACAGTAAAGGCTGCCTTGGCAGTGAATCTCGGAATTTGGGAAAAAATGGCTGCAGTAATTCTACTGGGTAATGTCACCCAATTCTAGTTTGGATTTCAAGAACCCACCATTGAAACTAAGACGAATCCCATCCTTCCGTGGACACCACGGAGGGTGATCAATAGCATACCTCCTTTTAGCACATCTCAACTGAAAATGCTGATCCACCTTGCCCACTCGCACATAGGCATCAACCCTTGCAAAAAGAGGAATGACATTGTTGCCTGCTCAAAAGTCAATGCTTGAGATGGGATGTGATTTGATGAAGGGTTTCTCAAGTCCTCCTTCAATTAGCGCAACATCTCTTGCACCATTGCTTCTATGTTTCAATTTGTGATTCATCAACAACCATTGTCCCACTTGCTCTTCCCCTTGTGGTCTCAACTTTGGAAATTTCCTCTCCATGCCCTCCATTCTTGTGGCCACTATGCAATGCTTATGGTACTGGAGCTTTGAAACCATTTAAGATTTCATAATGGGCCTCTATGATTCAAGTATTCAATCGTGAGCCTGAGAGAGGGACAATCCTCGCCTTTAATTCTCTTTTTTGCCAACTACTTCCTATATAGCTTCACCGTTACTAACTGCTAATTGTTGATTGAACTATTGTCTTTTCTTTGGCACTCGGTTATTTGGGATGTTGTTGTCCCCTGCTGACCTCTTCAGACTATACTAACCTAGTGTGTGTAGACCCTCTTAATCCTCCTTAACTTGCTATCACAAACCTTTATCAAACAAGCAGGAAGGTAAGGTTTTAAACTAGATGAACACCAACTACCCTCCTAACATGCATGTAACTTTGACTGAATAAATAATCGGAAGAATTAATCTTCTCCAAGGTTATGAATTAAATGACCACTGCCTACTCATCCATCAAGATAAGTAAGAAAACTCCAGATTAGATGTAATGGAGAGGCATTGGAGGAGGGGGCACGCCGGGTAGGCAATACTATTTGAGGTAAGAAACTACTTCAAGCAGGCTAAAATACCTAAGAATTCAAATATTCCACTTCATAGATGGTATACAGGTCTGCTCATTCGCTGAATCATCTCATGTTTTTTCCCTATTCCTACTGCTAGACAGAATAAGGGATGAAAACCTAAAAAATTGTCACAAATATGGAAAATATGAGTTTGACGCTGAAAGCATAAAATACCTAAATTGTTAATAGGTTCATAAATTTGCCCCATGTGTCACGTGTTCTTTCTAAATCAAGATCTCATGTGTTAAAGAAAAGTATCCATGTATTTCCCGTGTTTACAATTTCATTAAAACACGGTGTTAATCCTCCTGTTATCGGGGAAAAAGGGGTCATGGTAATCCAGAGTTCAGCCGGAAGGTAAGTTAAGTCTAACCAAGAATAGTTTAACTCGGGTTCTTTGAACTTAAGTGGAACTCATTAACCACTTGAATACAATAACATGGTTTTACTACTTATTAAACTACTTATTAAACTATATAGATTATCTCCTATGTAATTTCAAATAATTTGCCTCTTATTATTTTAACTTATCTGTTAAAGTTAATAAAAATAACCGTGAAATGCACCAAATACTTGCTGATTAGAATCCTAAACTAGAAGGAAAATAATACAGTAAGCAACATTAAAGATTGTACAGTTCCATTTATAGATAACTACCACTGCCAAAGATTAAGTGAGCAAAAGAAACCACGAAACAGAAAAGTAAAATAAAGATGATGCAAAGTGCGAAAGTATACCTGAATTTCCCTGCGAATATCTGAGAAATCATAAAACCTCTTCCCAGGCAAATGGAGGAACTCGCCGTACTCATCCGCCGGTTCAGAACTCCGAACGAGCTGAAGAACAAGAGGCCTGCGGGTACAGATTTCATTACCACGCGGAAGAAAGTCACGGCCGACGAGAGCTTCGAGAACGCTAGACTTGCCGCTACTCTGACTGCCGACAACCGCAACTTGAGGTAGGTTGATTGCGGATTGGCTTCCGACGCGGGAGAAAATGTCTTGAAGTCGGTTTACCAAAGAGATCACACCGGAACCGAGAGGAACAGGGGAGGAGGCGGATGGTGGAGGAGGAGTTGTGACGGTGTCGTCCACCATGATTGGATCGGTGGAGAAACGGAACCCTAGTTAGGGTTTTGAAATGTAACGGTTTGATTAGAGAGAGGTGGAGATTCGAACTCGGTGTACTGCGCCTCTTTTTTGAGTGTTGCGTTCTGTTGTGTGGAGAGTTTTAATTTTTTATGCTTCTACTGTTATTATTGTTACCCTCTAACGGAAGAAAAATAGAGTGAGGAAGAGGTAACTAATGCTGTGGCATTTTACTCCAGCTTAGCCAACAAGTTTTTCTAAATGATCTATATACAATTTAATTGATTTTTTTACATTGTAACAATTTTTATACGCGATTACGTATTTATATTTTATTTTATTTTCGCTGTAGTCTAATATAATATAAATATATAAATTTTAAAGTATTCGTATATTATCATATAATTCTTTTGATTAAAAATTTAATTTAATTAATTATAAGAGATAAAATTGACCTTTTGAATAATGTTTGATTTGTAGTTATTTGATATTAAATGAGACTTATGTGACACACTTAGAAATTTTATTGTATTTTATATTATTTTTATTCCACTAATATTTCACTAATGACATTATTTATCATCATGTTTCTGATGATACTTTTATACTTGCAACTGAATATGAATAGGTAGTGGAAATGTGTCGTTCTTGGAATGATAAATTTACAATTTACAATATAAAAATCCTTTTCCAAGATGCAACTTTTTGATTTTCGGCTGAACCATCATACTTTTCAAACCTTACATTTGTTCTTCATCCAAGAATTTTCACCAGATTTGAACAGGATCTAAAAAGGCGATTCCGATCTCAACAACTTCTGGAAACAATTTTCTTCACAATTGTTTTTCTTAGCTACGAAACTAGAAGGAAATGTTGCGTCTAAAAGCGTTTTGTCCTTCCAGCAATAAAATCGTTAAGATCCAATTGTATCTGACGCATCCATGGATGGTAAACGCCGATGATTCATATCGAGTATCTGTTTGGAACTGGGAGCACCGTCAGGTGAAATTTATATCTGATGGGTGTTATAATATGATTATTTTATTTTCTATTTATTCGTAAGTAATTGAAGGTTTTTGATTTTGGTTTCATGGCTTATATTTTTCGGAGTTGCGATTTGTTGAGTTGAAGCTTGAGAGCGATATTGTCAAGGGTTATGAAAAGGAGAATAATAAACCTTCTAATTGTAACTTTAGGTTTTGATTTTCTTTGTAGTTATATGACCTATCTCCCTCTTTTGTTTTCACCACTTTGTTTTTTTAATCTGTTGATTACTACAGTTCGCACGATTTTGATGGATACTAAAAATGGTTAGAAGGAATTTGTTGTTGGGTTTTCAAGCGTCTCGCGATTCTACATCAAAAGCAGAAAGACATTACATTGGGATTATGATTGATTTTGTTATTGTGTTAGCTGTGAATTTTGTTTGATAAATCTGAGCATGGGTTTATGTTAATCGTGGGTGTATGTATGTATTTCGAATGACATATTTTATGTATGAAACTGATTTTGTTCTCATGCGTTTGCAGGTCGAATACGTATTGATGCGTATGAAACTGGTGATGAAAAGGACATGCTCAGTATAAGTTGTTATTCGTTGAAATTGAATATATACATAAGAGGGTTAGTATTTTTCTTTGCATTTAAAAAATAGTTATTCAAATGTGATTATTTACAAAAGTACTTTTTTTATAACAAAAAAATTATAGCAAACAAATCCTATATCATAATGTGTATTGTCTTAAGTTCCAAAATATGAGCATCAACTCTCGCTTCTTATGTTTAAGAAATTTCAAAAATTAATTTCAAATTTATTTTTCATTTTTATTCGCCAATTAACCTCTTCAAGCTGTTTTTGGTTCGTCAGAATGTTAAAGACATTTTGCGATATGGAAGGCTATGCTAATATTGGACCATGGGAATCGATGGATGATGAACATATTCATTTTCTAATGTTTTTTTGGTGTATTTCATTATAGATGGAAGAATATCAAGGTGCTTATAAGGTTACTTAAGTGTTTTATTCAAATTGAAGGAAATTTAAAAAGCAGAAGAGTTTATTTGCATCGTATTCTTTGACAAACTCAACATACTTAGTTTAGTGGATAAACATTTCAAGCTTTATAATTCTATTTGTAATGCTTATCAGTGTTTTATCTTTTTTCATATTTCAACAGCTAATCCACCATTTTAGATCCCTATACATATTGTGGTCTCAGATAGGCCGACAAAATATGTTGTATTCAATGTCATAGTAGGTATTTTTGTGTCATTATTTCATTCTATGGCCATGGGTGTTCCATTATTACTTTATCTTATGACAAAATTTTATAAAATTTAAGTCATATCGGTGTGAAGTTTTCAGAGTCATCTTGAAAAGCTTATGCTAATACAAGGCAATATGACTGTACAACCTAGCATTGGCTATAATGGATTGTGTTGTCTTTTTAAGTGTGTGTTTGGGAGAGGTTTTGATAAAAGTGGTTTAGATTTTTTAATAGAATTAATTTTGTAAGATTGAATTGGTTATAATTAGGTTTGTTATTAAGGGGTTTATGTTTGGATGACTTAACTCTGAAAGCAAGTTTGATAAATAAAAGTATCGTTGATTTTCTGATCTCCTTATTTGTCAGTCTGCGGAGGACTTTGTTATTAAAGGGTTTATGTTTGGATGACTTAACTCTAAAAGCAAGTTTGATAAAAAAAAGTATCGTTGATTTTCTAATCTCTCTGATTGTCATTCTGCAGAGGACTCTCAATGATGTTATTAAAGGTTTATGCATAAAGATCTAATTGCAGAATATCAAGTTCAGATTCACCCGGGTGAAGGAATTGTTAAAGTGTTGAGAGGACGTCAAATTGCAGCTCAAGAGACAAATGTTTCAACTTCACGGGATAAGCGGTAATTTAGTTATGATTTTTTGAAGTTTCATCTCAGATGAAAATGTTTTCTCGGTTCAGGATTTTCAATGCGTTGCGCGTGGTTTACACAAAAAACAAAGGCCTTCGGAATATCATTTGAATTGCAAAACTGAAACCAATATTTATCCAACTCAATTTGTAAACTAATGTCACCGGAACCAGATCGATACGATAAAAATCGACCGAGTTATGATTTTCTGAAGATGAAGCAGGTGAACATTTGTCACAATTTTCTTGTGCGAAAATACTTGATAAATCCACATTTTTGAATACCTTCTCGATAGATTTGGCTTTTGGCCGTGGAATTTTTACCACCAGAACAGATTCAAAACGACTAACGAGCTTCGAGTTATGAATTTTTTAGTATCCAAAAACTGCACCTTCAACACACTTTTTCCACAATATTTTCACTTTCACACCTTCAGAAGATCTGCACATTCGAAGACTTTCCTTAAGGAATTGACTCTCGTTCCGAACATACAAAATGGAGTACAGATCAAGAAGATTCTTTTGATATAGAAACTAACTTGAGATAGTGAACCAGGTCGGAGTTATAAATTTTTGAACATCTGCAAAACAATGAATCGATAGTTGAATCAGTTTAATAACTCCAAAAGATAAAATCCTTGGAGCTTCTTTTCTTCAAAGAAATACCTTGATCCCATGAAATGTATGTATGCATGTGGTAATGAAATATAAGTCAATCAAGATAATAATGAAGAGGGCAAATTTCGGGGTACAACAATTGCCCCTATTCAATCTTCTTTAACCAGAAAGTGAGATTGGTCATGGCCTTTCGAACAATCGAGGTGAAAGAGCATTGAATACTTAATAGAACTGTAAAATTTGCACTATGAAGCAGGTCGGATATGATTGCACTTTTGTTTGTATAACTAGTAGTTATCAAGGACAAATGTATGCTCGGTTGGGGTGAGACACACATAACAAGAAATAGATTTTTTTGTAACCATGTGTTAGGAGCTGGTAATGAACATATATCAAAAAGACACCAGAAGAAAGGACTCTAACATAGATATCAGCCACATACGTTCGGATGAAAAGACATATGTGAACGATACATGTCCGGAAGATAAGACACACAACAAAAAGAAGTATGTAGGAAAGGACTCTCACCAAAGATATCATAAGCACATGTTCGGAAGAAAGAACAAGCATGACAGAGACCGAAAGAAAGGACCCTATCACAGATATCAAAAAATAAATGTCCGCGGGAAAGGACGTCTAGCAAGAAAGAGGCCGGAAGAAAGGTCTCTAACCAAAGATATTTTAAACATATGCCTGGAAGAAAAGATGTGTAATCAAGAATAGACCAGAAGAAAGGTCTAACGAAAGATAACAAGAATACATGTCTGGAAGAAAGAATACACAATAGGAATAGACCGGAGGACAGTTCTAAACAAAGATATTGCAAATATATGTCCGGAGGAAGGGACATATAACAGAAATAGACCGAAGGAAAGGTCTAAACAAAGATATTGCAAATACATGTCCGAAGGAAAAGACATATAACATGGATAGACCGGAGGAAAGCTCTAAACAAAGATGTTGCAAATATATGTCTGGAGGAAATGGCATATAATAGGGATAGACCGGAGGAAAGGTCTAAACAAAGATATTGCAAATATATGTCCGGAGGAAGGGACATATAACAGGAATAGAATGGAGAAAAGGTCTGAACAAAGATATTGCAAATATATGTTCGGAGGAAATGATATATAATAGGGATAAACTGGAGGAAAGGTCTAAACCAAGATATCGTACATAGATGTCTGAAGGAAAGGACATATAATAGGGATAGACCGGAAGAAAGGTCTAAACTAAGATATTGTACATATATGTCCGGAGGAAAGGATATATAACAGAGATAGACAGGAGGAAAGGTCTAAACAAATATATTGTACATATGTGTCTGGAGGAAAGGACACACAACATGAATATACTGAAGGAAATGTCTAAACAAAGGCATCGCAAATATATGTCCAGAGGAAAGGATATATAACAGGAATAGACCGAAGGAAAGATCTAAACAAAGACATCAAGAATACATGTCCGGAGGAGAGGACACA